AAAAAAACTATAATATTATAAAAAATTTCTTTAGAGACAGTCATGACAAACGTCTTTCTTGTGTTCACCACAAACTGTCTTTTTGCATTTGGCACAGGTCATCTTTGACATTCTTTTCTTTTTAGACGTGCAAAGACTGCAATAACGCCTTTTTTTGGCTGAGGGTTCTTCTTCATCATCTGTGGAAGCCTGTACAGCAGATTTTGGAAGAATATTTTCAATGTTGCTTCGCACATGCCTTGGCAAAGTGGGTGCTTCCAGTCTTTGCGTCATCCACGGTGCAGTCAGTTGTTTTCTTCGCAGGCGCCTCTGCGACGTAGGTTATCTTTCTCGGGTTAATGGGACATTAAATTTTATATTAATATATATTTATATTAATATATATAATAGTAATCAACTTGCTGTTACTGCGATCATTGGCTTGAATAGATCAGCACATGCCGTGTGTTTATGAAAGCTGTGTTTATTAATACATTTCGAAATGTATTAGTAACCGTTGTTGACAATACATGATTGACATCGATCGAAGATTTATTTTTATTTTTTATTTTTATTTTTAATTGATTACTATTCCTATTCTGAATTTTTGTTATAACTTCTTAATAAAGCTCTATATGACCTATGTTTGCATGACATTTTTTTCTTACTTTGTTCCATAGAATATACTGACAAAGTTTGAACATTAAAACCTGGGACACCCTGTATAATATACGCAGAGTAAATAAATAGTGTACGCGACGCGTGCCGATAACTTTTCATCAGAAGCGGGTCGAGAATTAAACCGATTCGACAGTGAAAAAGGTATTGGGCTCGGTAAATGGACCGTTGAAAGTGTAATTTCGACTATAAATGAGCAACCGTGCAGCCGTATGAAAATTGGAATTTACAGCGGTCGAGGTGGTTATGGGTAATGTATTCAACGGGGCTGGTTTTAATCGATTATTTTCACCTGATTTACACGGGTTCGTCTGTTACGCCGCTTTGCCCTCACACGGAATTTACGTGGGTGGTATATATTTAGCGGGGGCGTCCCGTGTAGCTGGTGTGTTTCACATTCAAATCGAGGAAGTTATGTCAGGACAGCGCTGCATGTATAAATAAATCGTAACCAATGCGATAACTAATCCGCGAAACGTTTCGCGTATCCACGCCTTTCTACCGTCGATTTAATAATAAGCTGTCCAGGTTAAATCGAAGTTTTTCTCTTAATAATCTCTTCCCATAATAGCTGAACTGTTTTTCAGAACTTACATTGCGAAACTCGAACTTGTCTACGCGATCCTCAATTTCTGAGCGATTTAACTTCGACCGAGAAGGTAGAATGATTAACTTCGAGAATTTTTTCTGCTTTAACCGTGAAAGCTACGCGACCGATTCTCACGCAGAATGATTCTGTAGATGTTGCACTATGCGACAGTATATTTTTTTACGACTTTAGAAACATTTGGGCACGTGTGAACAAGTTCCAAAGAAGGGCGTGCATCTTTAATGCAATTTCTTCAACTATTTACGCATTAGTTTTGACAATGAAAAGTCTGTGAAAAGGGCTTAATTACGGGATGTCCCAAAAATAGGAGCTTCCTGAGGACATTCCAAGCAACTTTTTCCTCAGCGAAAATGCAATCCGCGGCTTCGTTTGCGAGATATTGACGAAAAACGGTGACCAATGAGAGGCGAGCACGGCTGACGCCCCGCCCTCGTGACCACTGTCGCTGCGTCAGACGGCCGGCGCGACGCGCCAGATAATCTCGCCTCTGATTGGTCAGCGTTTTTCGTTAATAACTCGTAAACGAAGCCATGTATTACATTTTCGCAAAGGAAAAAGTTGCTTCAAATGACCTCAGGAACCTCCCGTTTTCGGATTGCGAGACATTTTCGAGACACGCTGCACGCGTACTACGCGATAGGGCGCATCTTCTTGTTGCGGAAATCGTTGAAAGAACTGAGAATGCAAATTTCTTTCTCGATTGAGAAAAAAAATGACCGAAAGTGTCGGTGGTACTGATTACGAAACGTAAAGTCAGTGTTAAACAGCGTAATCAAGTGATCAGGAAATTCTCCGGCTACCTGGAAAACCGTATTGCCGTGCGATATCTGTACGAAGTGTTTCATAAAACGTTATTTCAACGTATGAAAATAATTGAAATATAGTACTTTATGTACGATTTTTCTCCTGTAAGAATGTAAATATCTGCCGCGGCGGAAGTTCGTACGATTATTCGCGTACAATACCGTACGAATATTTTCGAATGGTAATAACATTAATAAGAATTTATGTGACTGCACAATTTATTGCGATTGTGCGGCTCCATAAATGTTTTTAATAATATCCTCTGTCGTTTACAATCGTAAACAGCATTTCTATGATAATTTCATGAATTACGCCAATCTATTACTAGCTTTAATAACATTTAACATACCCGTTTTATGTTCCCGGTACCTGATAGGCAATTCTTGCCGACTCTGTAACGCGAAACGCACAAAGTTGAAAATCATATTTCTCCCTCAATCCAGAGTTCTTCCGAAATTTTTTACGCAGAATGATTCTGTAGATGTTGCACGATGCAACGGTATATTTTTTCACGACTTTAGAAACATTTAGACACGTGTGGACAAGTTTCAAAGAAGGCCGTGCGTCTTTAATGTATCAATTTCTTTGGCGATTTTCGGAAATTTTATTCTGGATTTTAATCGGAAATGTTTTGCACCTGAAACAATTTTATGGTATCTCTTAAGTACGACGGTATATTTTTTAACATTATTTAAAATTAGACATTGACAAGAATGGCGAGAGTTAATGGTAAAAATTCGTTAACGTAATCAGCGTGACGAGGTTAGAATTTCGAGAATGAAAGAAAGTTGAAAATGCATTTGACAACAAATGTTTCGCACGAGAATTTCTATTTATAAATCTTTCCGAAATTCTATGGTATTCTATAGAATCTTATGGAACAGTAATTTTAATCTTATGTAATTTTATTATTTATTATATATTATTACATATAATTATATATATATCATTCATTATATATTATTATACATATTTTGTATTATTAATATAATAATTATGATATAATAATATAATATTATATTATAATAATTAATATATAATATAATATAATAATAATATATATTATAATAATTATAATATAATAATATATATTATTATTATATTATATTATATATTAATTATTATTATATAATATTATATTATTATATCATAATTATTACAGTATACATTATATTCTATTATTTACTGGACCGGTGAAAACAAATTATTCCCCACTTTTATAAAATATCGCAAGGAAAGAAAAACTTGCACGACAATTTGTTGTCAATAACACCAGATCTAGAAAGAAATGCGAACTGCATTAAAAGCGCAGCCGTAAAAAAAACTCCGTAGACAAGCTGTCGGGAGTTTCGAGGTCCGGTAGTCGGGAGTCGAAATGTTCGTCAGTAGGTAGCTGCGCGTCTCGTTGAGGAGCGAAAGGTCAATCATGGCGGGGTGACTCACCAAATTTTTGGCATACTTTTTCTTCCAGACGGGCCACGTGAGAACGTCGACGGGAAGCTACATGATTAACCCGGCGGAGCCGTGGCGGGGGAACGACAAAGATTCCCGAGAGTTTTCGCTGCAACACGCGATCCAAAGGGATGCCAACCACTTGTACGGCGCCGATGACAGCTCTAACAGCAACAATTGCGGTGTAATCGGTGAGTAAAATCTGTTTCGGCACTGTTACTTAGCGACAACAGAGTCGACGCTTCTTCAAAATCTACTGTTTTAGCGCGTGGAATTAGCAAGAAGAGATTTATAACAATTCCAGTTGTCGCTCGATAAACGAGCAATCGCAACGAGTAATAAAATAATAAATAATAGTAAATAATTTATATAAATAATAATATATATAATAATAATAATTATATAATTATTATTTATATAAATTATTTACTATTATTTATTATTTTAATATAATATAATTATATAATTATATAATTTTATAATAATAATTTATAGAATTTATTTTGTTATGCGAAAGAATATTTCAAGGCTTCTTTGCGCTGTTGCACAGCCATTTGAACGATGCGTTGACATCAGTAATATTTTTCTCTATTCATTTATTTCACTGTATAAGCAACTCTGAAACTTGATCATTCGCGCTGGAGATCTTTGACCCAGGTATTGATTTTTTTGTCAATAATTCCTTTTTTGGAGATTGTAAATTATTCAAGATAAGAATACCATCTTATTTAATTTCTGTTTCTTGTCGTAGAGTTAGACAATTTTTGAAATATTCTTCTGTGTGAGTACGATTAGACTTTATTTTGGTTAATTTACTATTTACATATTTTATCTATTTTATTGTTAAAAATATTATACAGTTATTCATACATAGATCTTGCATGCATATTTAGCTCATATCCTATCGACAAAGAATGGCAAGTAGCCAAATTTCAATTGTCTCCATTCCGATGTTATGCTTCTTCTATTAGTGAACTGCCTTGAAACCGGATTTCATGTATCAAAATAATTTATAACTTTTATCTGCGTTCGAGTGGGTCAGAATTGTAGTGACGTAAGCCACGTCTTCAGAAACATTGACTTAGGTACGTCTTGTAAAATAATATGCCAAAATATTAAAACGACAATTAAGATAAATTATAACGTTACCATAAATTAACTTAACTCTAAATTATCTTAACTAAATCATCGTAATTTGATCAGCAAACTATGCAAGTGTTAGTAAAAAATAACACTGCTTAAGAAAAATGTAACTTACTCATTTATTTATCTCGTTTCACAAGAATCGTCTGCACAAAAATATGCCCCCCCCCTACGCTTTTACAATTAATAAATATTAGGTTGACAATATTAGGTTAACATCGCCAACTTTAACAGCTTATTATTTGACATAACCTTAATATTTTACCGTTCTGTTTCTTTTTGTTCGAAAATGATACATCTCGCCTGTTTAAAGAAACCATTATAAGCTCCAAAAAATATTAAAAATTAATTTCGTTGAAAACAAAAGTTGGTGTTCCTTCATCTTCCCCTATACTCACCAAACCTAGCCCCTATTAACTACCACTTATCCCACAATTTGGACAACTTTTTAACAGGAAAACAATTTAATTCCGAGAATGCTGTAAAAATAACCTTGCAGGAATTTGTCATTCGCCAGGGTTTCATACCACCGGCATGATCCACCTGTCGCTTAAATAACAGAAGTCTATAAACAATACGGATGCATACATCGACGAATAAAATAATTCCCGATACAGTAATGTCTCCCTTACTGACGCTCAGATCGCGCACAAAAATGGACAATTTGGGAAGAGGAGATACGATTATTCGAGCCTTGCCATTACTGTACAGTAATGTCTCCCTTACTGACACTCAGATTGCGCACAAAAATGGACAATTTGGGAAGAGGAGATACGATTATTCGAGCCTTGTCATTACTGTACAGTATTGTCTCCCTTACTGACGCTCAGGTTGCGCACAAAACTGGACAATTTGGGAAGGGGAGATACGATTATTCGAGCTTTGCGGTTTATTTTCATAGTTATAAATTGTCCACAATTATAAAAACGAGCCGCAAGGCTCGAACAATCGTATCTCCTCTTCCCAAATTATCCATTTTAGTGGACAATCTGAGCGTCAGTAAGGGAGACATTACTGTATTGCTCTTTCAAGCTAGTTTTTCTCGAAAACGGAGCCTTAAATAAGAAAATGTTATTCCTTTTTCCCGACTTAGTTTTGCACGTGGAATCACCCTATTGCCGGTTGTACCACGATTTTCCGAACACACTGTATAAATATGCATTACATATGGCGGCTGAAACGTATCGCGGATAGATTGCGCACAAAAATGGACAATTTGGGAAAAGAAGATACGATTATTCGAGCCTCGCGGTTTATTTCTATAGTTACAAATTGTCCACAATTATAAAAACGAGCCGCAAGGCTCGAACAATCGTATCTCCTCTTCCCAAATTATCCATTTTAGTGGACAATCTGAGCGTCAGTAAGGGAGACATTACTGTATTGCTCTTTCAAGCTAGTTTTTCTCGAAAACGGAGCCTTAAATAAGAAAATGTTATTGCTTTTTCTCGACTTAGTTTTGAACGTGGAATCACCCTATTGCCGGTTGTACCACGATTTTTCGAACACTCTGTATAAATATGCATTAAATATGGCGGCTGAAACGTATCGCGGATAGATTGCGCACAAAAATGGACAATTTGGGAAAAGAAGATACGATTATTCGAGCCTCGCGGTTTATTTCTATAGTTACAAATTGTCCACAATTATAAAAACGAGCCGCAAGGCTCGAACAATCGTATCTCCTCTTCCCAAATTATCCATTTTAGTGGACAATCTGAGCGTCAGTAAGGGAGACATTACTGTATTGCTCTTTCAAGCTAGTTTTTCTCGAAAACGGAGCCTTAAATAAGAAAATGTTATTGCTTTTTCTCGACTTAGTTTTGAACGTGGAATCACCCTATTGCCGGTTGTACCACGATTTTTCGAACACTCTGTATAAATATGCATTAAATATGGCGGCTGAAACGTATCGCGGATAGATTGCGCACAAAAATGGACAATTTGGGAAAAGAAGATACGATTATTCGAGCCTCGCGGTTTATTTCTATAGTTACAAATTGTCCACAATTATAAAAACGAGCCGCAAGGCTCGAACAATCGTATCTCCTCTTCCCAAATTATCCATTTTAGTGGACAATCTGAGCGTCAGTAAGGGAGACATTACTGTATTGCTCTTTCAAGCTAGTTTTTCTCGAAAACGGAGCCTTAAATAAGAAAATGTTATTGCTTTTTCTCGACTTAGTTTTGAACGTGGAATCACCCTATTGCCGGTTGTACCACGATTTTTCGAACACTCTGTATAAATATGCATTAAATATGGCGGCTGAAACGTATCGCGGATAGATTGCGCACAAAAATGGACAATTTGGGAAAAGAAGATACGATTATTCGAGCCTCGCAGTTTATTTTTATAGTTATAAATTGTCCACAATTATAAAAACGAGCCGCAAGGCTCGAACAATCGTATCACCTCTTCCCAAATTATCCATTTTAGTGGACAATCCGAGCGTCAGTAAGGGAGACATTGCTGTACCTGCAAGTTGTCAACCAACTACGCCTTCTTTTCTACAAATTTCGTCCTCGACAACCCGATAATTGTACACGCAAGCGTCGTCTCGTCCGGCCGGCCGGGACTTAATGGGTTGGCAAAAAGCGAAGCGTACAAGATGTCAAAGCTTTCGCCGTGCAAGAGCTACAGGTCCCCGGCGCGCATACCCAAAATCCTTGAGGACGGGTTTGCGGGCCGAGTGAGGCCCCGCGCCGAAAACGTATTAATAATGCATGCGCTCGGCCCATACACATTAGGCGCACAGATGTACACGTGCACCGGGCGCACCGTGTAGTACTACAAATGCCCGGGCCCCGGCTTCGATACGATACGTATCGTTTTATTCATGACCGTCCCGTTCAGTCGCCACCGTGTCGCACGGCGAAAGTTCATTCGGGCTAACGTAAGATCCGCGGACAATAAATCTGGCAGCGGGAGCTTTTCGGGCCCGCGACCGGTTTCACCGTGCCGATTAAATTCCGTTATTAACGCGTCGTATCGCCGGCCGCGTAAATCACCGGCTCTTTAGCAATTATTTCGTTCGGCCCGCCGATCGTTTCCTCGCTCGCTCTTAATTGTCTCCGCGCCGGTTTCTCCTGTTTTTTTTTATACGGACCTCGGTGGGCATGGCTCGCTCGTGTTTCGACGATTCCGATACGGGCTTGGCTCCGATGAAAATGCGCTCTGCAAAGCTTGTCAAACTCGCAAATCACGCGGCTTTGCAGCGGTTTTTATATCGAAGCGCCGAGATTAATTTCGATAAGGGCTCGTATGCTGAATAGATTTGCGCGTTGTCCGATGAATAGAGAAACAAACGCCACTTGCGAAAATGTTTGCTCGCAGTTTAAGGATTTATTCGTACAAGAATTCATAAATACAGTAATGTCTCCCTAATTGACGCCCAAATTGTGCACAAAAATGGACAATTTGGGAAGAGGAGATACGATTGTTCGAGCCTTGCGGCGGTTTTGTAACCTTTGACAATTCGTAACTGTGAAGAGAAACCGCAAGGCTCGAACAATCGTGTCTCTTCTTCCCAAATTGTCCAGTTTTGTGTACAATCCGAGCGTCAATTAGGGAGACTTTACTGTATCGCTTTTGCTTTTTATATTGTCACGCGAAAATCCTCTGTCGAGATTACTCTAATATGAGACCTATTTCTTTAAGAGCTCGCAGCTCCCGAATGAGAGAATTTTTATCGAAATTCAATACACGCGTTTTGCAAGTAAGATGCACAGAATGCGCAAGTATACGTATCGAATGTAAAGTCACGCCATAAGTTGTACAGTTTTCACTTATTGGTAAAAAGTTCTCGTAAAAACGAAGTGCTGTACTTGTTGTGCTGTACTTATAGAATGACCCAATCTATTTAACTAATAAACTTATTGTTCCCTAGTCGAGACTGTAACTTACGTTACTCTCCAGACTATCGTTCTCATTCATTCATAATTATCACAGTTGTCAGGCTCGTCGCGTTAATGCTAACGAAAATGAAGCATCTCCGTGCGCGACGCTGAACGTAGACATTCTTTTTAATTGCCGAGAAAGTTGGATCAA